CGCTGAACGCAAGCAGCGTACGCTCTTCTGTGTCAGCCGCGACACAAGGATACGTTTTCTACATGTATTTACACTTCGATTTGAATGGAAACAGCGCATCAGTGCAGCGCAGCTGAAAAAGAAGAGCGTACGCTGCCTGCGTTCAGCTCATTTTCTCCAAAATGGAGCTACGGTGATGCAGAGAGACACAGAGGAGACGAATTGTTGAATAAAGTCATTATTTTTGTTTTCTTCATATTCAAAATGTATTCTCGTTGCTTCATAACGTTACAGTTGAACCACTGATGGCAGATGGACTATTCTGACGATGTCTTTCATACTTTTCTGGACCTTGACAGTGTAATTTACTTGGCAGTGAATGGGCCAGTCACAAGCCTCCCCGTTTTCATCCAAAATATCTTAAATTGTGTTCCGAAGACGAACAAAGCTTTTACGGGTTTGGAACGACATGGGGGTAAGTGATTAATGACAACATTTTCATTTTGGGGTGGAGTAACCCTTTAAGACAGCCGACTGTGTTTACGAGAATACTTGCCGAGACAGTTATTTTGAGATAATTTTGTGTGTATGTGTTCATTCAGATGCAAGGATACGCGAAAGAGGAATCAATTCTGGCCCTGTCCCAAATGGAACACTTCATGTGCACTTGTGGTCTTACGGACTTACAATGGCCACCGCATGCGTGTGTCCATTAAGTCCACGAGACTGTAGGCGTAGGGTGTCCCATTTGTCATTTTAGCGTTCAGAATGGTGCTCGCGAGCGCCCCCCGTTATGCGCCCTCGATCCGCACTTCTGCCGAACTGGGACGAGCTCCACAGCAGACTTCTACCCGACAGTCAAAGCGGCATTACGTCACAAAAGTGCGGACTCAGAGGAAGACTGCGAGGGTTTAGGGTGCAATTTGGGACAGGGCCTCTGTGTACGCACATTGTCTGAATCGCGGTTCTCTGTGCGCACTTTGAATGAGTGTGCGCTGCTCTGAATGCACGTGAATGGTTTAAAACACTTGAATGTTTAAATCAGCAAGACTTAGAAACACAAGCAAAACGATCAACTACGATTCGTTTTACCCCTACTAGTTGCTAGTGAACAATGCAAATCAAGGAAGGAATTTTATATCACCGTTCAAGATACCCCGTCGGGCAGGGTGGTGAAACGTTTTAGTAGCCTGACTGGAAAACACAATAGCCCCGGGCGATTTTGCGAGTCCTGTTGTTGTTGACCGATATATCGCCAAGGCTGATATATCAGCCAGTATTTGGCAATCTTCAAATATCGGCATTGGCTGATAAGTTTTTCTGTTTGGTCAATGCGTTCGAGGTGGAACTTTTATTTTGATGGTATTACTTGAAAACAGCTTGAAAACAATGTGTCATGTAATGTTACAATTACCTCAGGAGAACCATCAAATATCCACAGCAGTTAGTCAATGAGAAAAAAAACTGTAGAGATGAGCATTTTGATAAATATATGGGATATATTTGTCAATTTTGAGATCTGCATCAGTCAATAAGCACTTCTATTTGCCAGTTTAAAAAAATCTGTCAATTCCAAAATCTACTGACAGCCTTGTCAATTGTCAATGTTCAAATATTTTAGTGAATCTGAGTACATATTGTGGAAAATTAGTGTTTAATTTCAGCAATTTTATATACATCTCATCTGCTATCATCCACATTATATCAGTCATCAGACATCATTGGCTGTATTTCCCAAAAGTCAAATAGATCTTGGAAACCATTGGCACCAATGGTCTGTACAATCTACTTAAACTTACAATGCTTTAGGAAACACAATCCTGGTCTGTACATATTGAAAAACCCATATTTGTTAATTCTACATTCTTCTAAAATGACTTTTACAGCCAATGATCATCCACAGATTGTTAACCAACTTGAGTCAATACCGTGAAAGAAGAACCATTTGCTGGGCAAGTGTGTTCACATGATGTTGACCAGTCACACTGACTGCTGCCATAACCTATCTTAGCTTTAACACAATCCATGCACTAAATGAATGGCTACCTCAGCAACAGGTTCCCAATTAGCAGATAAAATAAAACGCAGCACTGACAAGAAATCATTATTAGTAGACAAAAACAAAAGGGTATTCAAAATGGCACCGCAACTTTTATTTATGTTGTTGACCGCATTTAATACGCATTTAAGTATGCAAAACCAAATGGCAGCTGTGACTAAGACACTTGGATACAGTGCCAACTCCAAAGGAAGAGAAATGTCCATGCTAGACGTGCCTCTCAATTGTGCTAATGCAGCAAAGACACTAACAGTAACTCAAACAAACTCACGAATGTCAGCGCTGTGAGTGGAAGTGTACATATGATCAGGTGACTGATTACTAGGGTTGGGGGAAAAAAATTTTTTTTTCCGATAAATCGTTTTTTTCAATGACGTCGATTCGATATCGATTCTCAAAAGCCGCGAATCGATCTTTTCCAGTATTTATTTCAGCACACATTTAAAACAAGATCTGATTAACGTGAATCTTATCATTAGTCTTCTCCACTAGATGTCACTCTTATTTACCTTGCGCGATGTTACAACAGAAAGCCTGTCATTCATTCAGCACTTATCATGGCCATCAGCGTGATTCGCAATGCTCAGGTGAAATGCTATAGTAATACTATAAATCTGCGGAAGCATTTGATATCACACATAAGGTGCCATGATTTCCGCAATGAATGAATGACGGATGGTGCGGCGCACTGTTTTGTTTACTACACACCTACTAAAGCGCGGATGACGCTTGCGGTGTTTTCAGCTTCTGCCGTCTCACTAT